GGGGGGTGTTTGGGGGGGCTCTGACCCTTGCTGGGGAGCATTTGAGGGGGGCTTTGGCCCTTGCTGACGGGCTGGGGGTGTTTGGGGCGAGGGGCGTATTGATCCTCGCTGTAGGGCTGGGAGGTGTTTGGAGGGAGCTTTGACCCTTGCTGAGTGGTTGGAGGGAATTAGGGGGGACTTTGACCCTTGCTCGGGGGCATTTGAGGGGGGCTTTTACTCTTGCTGAGGGCCTGGGTGTCTGTGTGGCCTTCCCGCAAAGGTCTGACTCTTGTTGGGGGATTTCTCTTTGTGTGGGGGGAGGTGTGGGGGGGCTCTGGCCCTTGCTGAGGGAAGGGGCGACTCTGGGACCACTCTTTGGGGTTGGGGACAATGTGCAGAGGCCCTGACCTTGCCAGGGGAGCTTGTGGGGGGGTCGGGGGGGGTGGGGCTCTGACCCTCGCAGAGGGTTTGGGGCTGTGTGGGGGTGGCTCTGGGTCCTTGGAGGGGTGTTGGGGTGGTTGGGCAGCACCAGACCTTGGTGGTGGAGAGGGGCTTCGGCCCACGGTAGTTTCAGGGGGGCTGTTGGCTGTTAAGGTGGAGGGTGGGAGGCTCCTGTTTTGGGGGGGAGCAGGGGGGAGTTGCTAGTGGGGCTGCTGAGCCTTGTTGGGGCCCCACTGAGCTTGGGAAGGAATACGTCTGTGTGGAAGTGTCTGAGGAAGTGGGAAGGGCTCTGGGGGCTTGTTATTTTGGATCATTTTACTTCCACTCAACTTACTGAGTCAGTGGTACAAGACCTGCTCCATTTGAAATTGTGTCATGTGGCGAGAGTCCAGGGCACGGTTTGTTGTGCTCGTCTCATGTCCTTACTGATGGGTCTAAATAGTGGTGTGAACTCCAGGTTAGGGAAAGCGTTACTTATTGCTCACATTGCTTTTTCTTATTTTTCCAGACTCTCTCTTTATCCATAAGTAGCTGAAGCACAGAAGTCCCCATCATGGATTTTCAGCATCGTCCTGGAGGTAAAACTGGAAGCGGAGGCGTAGCCTCTGCCTCAGAAAGTAACCGAGACCGCAGGGAGAGGCTCCGGCAGCTGGCTTTGGAAACCATCGACATCAACAAGGTGAGCCTTGGCCTCTGCCTGCACAGGAAAGAAAAGACACAGGGTTCCTGTCCTGCAGACTGTTGTGGGGATAAGTTTAGAGCTTTGCCTGAGCGAAATGGCTTGGAGGGTGAGAGATTTAGTGGAGAGTTGTGGATTGGAATGAAATATTTCTCCTGGTGATGTGGGAGTTGAATGAGAAACATCTGTGATGGGGCTGACCAGAGAGGTGCCAGCAGTTGCGTATTCGAGTAGCTGTTACTATGTTGTTTTCAGACTTCTCAGGACTGGCTGGTATATTGCTGTTTCTTGCCTGCAGTTGGGTATGCTGTCATCAGTTAACAAAGTTGCTATTGTTTCTCTCTGTTTTCATAGTCCTAAAGCAGTGTTATGCTACTAATTTAAATCTACAAACTCAGTTCTTCCAGTGCAGCAAAAGTTCAGCAGTATTTTGATTATTCTGTTGTTTTGCCATGTATTGTGCTTGTAACTTTTTAATAATTCTCTTCCTAGGACCCTTATTTTATGAAAAATCACTTGGGCTCTTATGAATGCAAGCTTTGCCTAACGCTGCACAACAATGAGGTGAGTTGAACAGCTGTCTGCCTTGATCTCGGCAGCAGGTATTTTAGAATAATAGTAGCTTCAAATGCAAGAACCTGGGATGTGCCTGATGACTGACTGCTGAAGAGATGATGGGTGGGTAGCGGCTTGCATGCGTTAAGCCTGACAGTTTACGACAATTCAGGAGCTGAGAGCAATCTGCAATTTTTGAGTAAGATTCCTCTCTGCTAAGGATTAAAATATCCTTGTCAACGTGTGATATAGTCTCTCCTCTGTGACAAGTATCTTTCAGTGTAGGAACAGTCCTGTCTTTATTTAACTTTCTTCTACCTTGTTTTTTATTACAGGGAAGTTACTTAGCCCATACCCAGGGGAAGAAGCATCAGACCAATCTGTAAGTTGTTCTCTGCTCTAGCTTTATTCTCTATTACCTAAGCACCTTCAAATTATCACTTTAAAAGATCACTAAAAAGCATCTATAAATATTGAGCTCCATTATACAGTAGCACACTGTGCTTGAATGTTCTTTGACTGTGTTTTGTTTCCTAGTGAGCAGCCTGGCACTAGCCAGGAGGTACGGACCAGATCAGCTCCAAAAAATGGTGCTGACAAGCTCCATTTCAAGCTCAAGTTCAAAGCCAGTTGTGGGATTTCTGAAGGGAGAGGGAGAAAGAGTTGTAAAGGCAAACTGTTTTGAGTCTAGTTATAAGGATCTGGTTTTGTGAATACAGGTTGGGAGAAGTTTGTAAGTTTTATTTTAAGAAATCCAGTTTGCTTTGGTTTAGATGACTAGCTTGTGGGGTTTTTTTCTTTTTTATTTCAAGGAGTAAGTCTTCTCAAATCCATCTGTGGAGAGGGGCACCAAGGTCATCTCAGGGGTGGATAAGATATTTGAGATGACAGCCTTTAGTCAGGGGAAGGCAGGGATACAATTAGCCTGTCGTAGAAGAGAAATAGCAGGTTTTCCTGGCGTGCTTTCTGTGAAGCACTGAATATTCCGTGGTAAGGGATTCAAACTGCTCCTAGTGTATCCTTTAGAAACAAGTGCAGCTAACCTTTTAAATTTGGCATGTTTCAAATTAATCCAGGGCCCGTCGAGCTGCCAAGGAAGCTAAGGAAGCCCCTGCCCAGCCCGCACCAGAAAAAGTCAAAGTGGAAGTGAAGAAATTTGTGAAAATCGGACGACCAGGTTATAAAGGTATGTCAGGGATGTCTGTCATAGGAGACACCTAATGCCTGCTGGAGCTTGCCTGAAGTGCAGAGCTGTGGATGTGAATTATTAATTAGTCTTTTTAGCAGATCTGTCCATGAATAAGATATGGGCTTATCTCCTGATGTCCTTTATTGTTTAAATTACCCATGGAACATCACTTTATTGCTGACAGAGAACCATTTTAATAATAGATTGGTATGTCTCAGTCTTTCATCTCTTAGTAGTCGTGCAGGAGATGATGACATTGTTTCAGCCTCTCTTCTCCTTTTATTGTGTTGTACCATCTTTCACTAATGCTCATAAATCACTCATTGTATGTACAGCTCAAGTTTTGTTCTCTGAACTACTCATTGTTTTGTTTTGGCCTTCAGTACAAAACTTGGCTTCTTTATCTCCCAGCTTTGTTCTGCAGTGCACAGTGTCTTTGCCCCACAGCTGCTGAATTTCGGTAGAGATCCTTAGTAGTTTCAGTTAAAGACAATGTGGTGTTTTGTTTGATAAATGGGAGAAAAATCTTGTAATACTTTGTTGTTGGAAGCTTTGTGTGTTTCCTAGAGCAGATAGCAGGGTTAGAGCAACATTATATGTGATGTACTGAGCTTTCTTACTTTCTTTACAGTGACCAAACAGAGAGATCCAGAAACAGGCCAGCAGAGCCTTCTCTTCCAGGTAAGGGCACTGTTACAATTCTTGGTGTCCAGTTTTATCCAAGTAAAAGTGCTGCTAAATGAGCAGTTCTTTGCAGGATTCATGAAATCAAAAAAAAAAAAAAAAAAGGCCTTACCTTCCTAGCCCTCCGCTGCTGATTGTGTCAAGCAAATCCATGATAGTAGTTGTCAAGCCGATTCCTTTGGTGGCACTAAGTTTCTGTTTGGAACTGATCTCTTGATATGCTTCATAGTTGAGGGCTTGTTTTGTGTGAAAGGGGAGTGAAAAGGGGACATTCTTCTTAATGCTGCAATAACACCCCAACAGATTGATTATCCGGAGATTGCAGAAAGTATCATGCCTCGTCATCGGTTCATGTCAGCCTACGAGCAGAGGATTGAGCCCCCTGATAGACGCTGGCAATACCTTTTGATGGCAGCGGAGCCCTATGAAACCATAGCTTTCAAGGTAAGATTTGGGATTAACTGAATATTGGGAAAGTTCCTTTCCCACGTTTTCCAAGACATTAATTCCCAGTGAACATTATTATAGACTTCTGTTCTAGCCTTCAGGGGGTTAATGGAGTGGAAAGGGGGGTCAAGAAGACATGACTGGAAGTCATTAAACCCTGCTGAGAATTAGTGGAGGACTCTGGCATGAAAACTAGGCTGTGTGCTGAGCTCTGGGGAGCCATTGAATTCTCAGTGTCTGGCACAGAAAGGAGCCTTCTGGGCTTTGCTCCTCAGCCTTTGTGCAGATGTTAGGAGAGGGTTTTTTGCCAGCACACTTGTCCTTGACCGATAGGGAAGTAACTTAATTCTTTCCTGCCCCCATCTCTATATCTAATAACATCCGAGACTAGTGCATCTTACAAAGGCCTGGAATAACTGTGCTTATCTTGCAGGCTTTGGTGCTAAAAAGGGCCATTGAGCTAATCTGGTGGTGCTAATAATAGCTCCTTATTCTTTTTCGTTGCAGGTGCCAAGCAGAGAAATTGACAAAGCAGAAGGGAAGTTCTGGACCCACTGGAACAGGGAAACCAAACAGGTAGCTGGAGCACTGCAACATCTTTCTTGAGTGTTAAAGGGGGAGCAGGAGGGCAGAGCAGCTTGGGGGGGAAGGCAATGCAGGAAGAGCGCACAGCAGTCGTATCCGTGCTGGCTTTGCTGCTAAAATCTTCATTCCTTCAATGCAAGTGTGCAGTGACTCCTCCTGACAGAAGGATCTTCCTGTGTGTGTGATCTTTGTGAAAATTCAGCCTGGGAGGTAGAATCCTCGGTTGCTGTCAGCAGCAGCAGGACGGTGCGTAAACGTGCAACACCGTGTCCTCTCTCTGTGGCTCCTTGCTGCGTGTTTCCTGCACGCAGCTGTCTGTGGTGAGCCCGCAGCATGGATGTACTCACTGGGTATCGTATGTGAGAGCAAGGGACGAATGCATAGTGGGGTACCGACTCTGTCACAGATAGCTTAGTGCTTAGAACAAGTTTCAGAGGAGTTAAAGCACTGGACGACACTGGTGCAAGTCACGAATGCCACCAGGGTAGAAAGGCAGCCATGATCTGTGAAGGTAACAGGAGAGATCCGAGCCGTGTTCCTGGAGGCAGAGAGCAGCTCTGTTGTGTGATGGCACAAAGTTGTCCTGAGGATTAATTGTTGCCTTCTCTTTGCTTTTCTCCCCTCCCCTCCCCTCCCCAGTTCTTCCTTCAATTCCACTTCAAGATGGAGAAGCCCCCAGCTCCCCCAAACCTCCCTCCAGGGCCCCCAACTGTGAAGCGGCCTCCTCCACCTCCACTGATGAACGGCTTGCCCCCAAGGCCACCTCTGCCGGACTCCATGCCGCCGCCTCCTCCGGGAGGCATGACTCTGCCTCCTATGCCTCCCTCTGGACCAGTGCCACCACCTCCAGTGCCACCTCAGTTGCCACCAGCACCCGGTGTACCCCCCCCTGCTCCTCTGCCACCCATGATGAGACCACCTCTCCCCACGGAGGGGCCAGGCACTATCCCCCCACCGCCTCCCTCCAACTGAAGCCCCTCCTGGACTCAGTCCCGCTGGACTCCTCTAGCTCGTATCTTTTTTATATGCAGATCACAACTGATTCAGAGAAATATTTCTGTTTTGTATGCCTGTGAATTTGACTAAATCCTGTAGGTGCATTAAAAGGTTTTCCATTTTCCTTTCTCTATGTTCTTCCTGTGTTTTGGTTAAAAATGTTGCCATGTGTTCACTTTCTTTAGCCCTTAGATATATAAAACATTCCCAGTCTGGTTACATTTTGGAAATTCTCCAAAGAGGAGGCAAAGGATTGGAAATCTCTAGGCACCTCAGCTCCTTCTAACTGAATAGCTACATCAACCTAACTCAGCTGTGTTGGCTTAACGTATTACCTTCTTTAGACTGCTTGCTGTGTATCCCATAAATCACCAGCCAGTTAATCAGTTGCTATTCAACTGAAGTCCTTTATCGAGCTGTTCATTCAGTGATGGGGTGACTTGTCATAGACACACAGAAAGGATTCTGTTACTGCATCACCAGTAATCACAGCGGCAGGCAGAATGGAGGGCAAGCAGAATTTTCTAAATCCAGTTTTCTTTTGTCTTCCTGCTGAATTACAGTTGCAATCGGAAGAGTATCACTCCTGCTGCATTGGGAAACCTCCTTTCTCCTCCTGGTGCCAGAGCACTGTACCGTAGCTCAGGTGTTGCCAGCTAAAAGCTGGAAACGTCTCTACTGAGGAAATCAGTTTGGACTGCTTCTCGGGAGTCCTTGAAAAGTGCCAGACAAGATTTCATTGACAATTTAAGAAAGAGTCATCCTTCCCCATTACGCAGCTGCCTAGCTCCTACCAGCTGCTTACTAGACTGTTTATGCCAAATGGGTTCACAAAGCGTTAGTGCTCTCATCTGATGGTGGCAGGGGTTTCTGGGAATGTTTAGTCAAAAGAAATCACCAAAGCTGCAGTGATACAAAATCTTAGGTTATTATTATAATTCATTAAATGTTGTCTGTACCATTGTGAAGCACCTGCTGTCATGTATGATTTTTATTGTATATATCCTCCCACTAGAAGACTAGTTTTGGCAAGCTTTTAGTTCTCTGTGGTTTTATTTATACTAAATGTTTCCTTCAAACAATCATTTGGTTCCCATTAAAAAGCAGAGGTTCTAAGATTTCTCCTCTTTGTCCTTTCCAGGATTCATTTCACTGAACTGGGGTGTCTCAGCGCAGGATACCAGGGTGCTCGGTGGGTAAAGGCATCGCTGGAGGCCGGGCTGCCTGACCTGGGCTTGCTCTTGGCCAGTGCCCGGCTCGTTTCACGGACCGCGGGGGAGTCTGTGCTTGCCGCAGCCCTGCAGCTGTGTGCCCCTTTGATGGAGGAATCAAAGTCTTCTCTTCTGCTGGCCTGACACGGGTCCCACCCAGAGTGTGTCCAATCTTTGCTGGTTTTCCCGCTATGCTAGAAGCACTTTGCCTCAAGCTGAGCTGGCTCGATGCCTGAATCAGCTTGTGTGGGTCTCCCCTTTGCCAGGAGCGTGTCCTTTGTCATAGCTCCCATAGAAGAGAGGTCCGTCTTCACCAGCCCTTTGCTGTGGTGCCCTTTGTCCCTCTCTGGTTCGGGTGTACAGTCCGTTATATGACGTGCTGTAGCCAGATCCTGAGCTCTGAACTGCAGGTCTTGGAAACTCTGAGAAGGGTCTGAACGTGCATTGGAACTTTTTGCGGGTATCTTTCCCCCTGCCCTCTGTGCCAAAAAAAGGAGATACCTTGGGTGGGGGGGAGGTTTCTCTGGGGTGGATTAGGTAGGTGATGTTGGTGATTCCAAGTGTTAACAGCGAGTATTGGCATCTCATAGAGGGAGAAGTCCTTATAATACGTGTGTTGTGAGACTTTCAAAGTCAACTGTTAAGTGTTCAAGTCATCAGGCTGCTGCTGCACCTGTGAGATTCTCCTTCACAGGTTGAAGCAGTGTGGGGCTCAGGAGATGTGTTAAGAGAGCCCCTGCAAGGTGGCCTTCAAACTGTGGGGTGTGGGGTGCCAGCCGAGGGGGGAGGCTTTCCATACATTTACTTAGTTTCTGCCCATTATCTATCTCTATCCCCCTCCTCCTAGTCTGGCTAATTCTTCCCTCCTGGTGTTTCACTGCTGATGGGAATAGTATGTGCCAGTCCCCATGAAGATCCAAGTCTAGATGTCCATCCTCCTTTAGAAAACATCTGAAGTCAAGGACGTGCATCCCGATGAGTAAAAGAAACAGCTTTAATTTTTTTATGCTTCCAATACTAGATGCAAACCCAAAAATAGAACAAAAAAGTTTCTTTGAAACATCCCTCCCTCCTCTCTAGCGTGACAGCCTTTGAGTTTCTCAAGGGAGGTGTGTTGTGCATTGTCAACTCAAGGCCACCGGTTTTTAAAAGGGAGATGCCGTCCTCCCCTTCCGCCCAGGCGTTTTGAGGTGCGTGTGAGCAGCTCGAACGACTGTGTTGGGAGTAGCTGAAGTGAGAACATGAAGGCTGCTCTTCAGGTGCTTTTGCTATGGCTGGTGCTGTTGCTCCCCTCTGCAGCACTTCCAAGAAAGGGGAGCACAGGGGAAAGGATTTCCCCAATTAACTGGCTGGAGCTGAGCCTGCCGGAGGAGCTGGGACTTGAAGCAGAGGAGAGAGAGAGAGAAAATGCAAGTTTATGGGAAAGAGTGAGACCCAGCTCTGTGAGAAGATCAAGGATGACTGCTGCTACTCGCCTCTTTTCTAAGCCTCACCCAGGAGCAAAATGCCTCCAGGGGATGGCTGAGGATGGGGGCATCGGCTGGTCCGGCTCCAGCCTGCACCCGTGGCCACTCGGGGGGCTGGAAGGGCCCGTGTGCAGGGTGAAAATGGACCAGGACGGGCTGACCCCGAGGCACCTGGAAGTTGTGGGTGTTCTCACCCACTATGAAAGCAGCTTCATCAAGCTGTTGAGACAACGCACCAGCCGGGATGAAAGCTATCTCGAGACCTTCGGGCTCTGCCCGGCCGGGGAGGCAGATGCTGCTCTCCATCCCCTGAAGCACATCCACGCGCACGTGGTGGAGCCGGGGCAGGACCGCTTCCTCGTGCTGCATCTGGAGGAAGGTTGGTGTGAAATCCCTGTGCTGAGGCTGAGCCCAGCGGGGTGAGCACAGGGCTCGGGGAGGCTGATGCTGTTTGCTTGCCCTAAATCAGAAATTTAAACACAGAATTAAACTCGGGGGGTTGGGTTCCTTGTAAAATTAGCAGAGCGATGCAGTAATATGTGTTTCTGGGTACATTTTGAAGAAGTTTTAGTAGTGATGATAGCTTGTGTGCAACCGGGTGCCTTGTCCCTGCCTGTGACTAATGCGCAGGTGCCGCAATCTTGGCAGCTTCTGCTCTGCTTTCGAGATTATGAGCGTTTCTCACTTTGTGCCTTAATGACGTGGGTGAGGATCCCATCCCAACTCTGTCTGACTGGGAAAAGAGAGGAGAGGGTTGGATGAGCGGACCTGGCTGGTCCTGCTGTGGCATAAGCCTGGCTGCTCGCTAATCTCTCATGCTTGGTGTTGCCGAGGAGCAACCTTGGGAAGGTCCTGGGCTTGCTTGGGTAGCTTCAGCCTTAGGCGAAAACCAGTGACGCATGTTCCCCTGTCCTGTCTCAGTGGTAAATGCTGTGCTTGAGGGAGAGCACAACCCTCAGTTTTAATCCAGCCTCCTGTGTAGCAAGAGGGTCATGGTTGTTTCTCTCCTTGAAATCTCTTCCTCCTCACCTGGATTTTGAATTTTCAGCTGAACTTGCCAGTGCCAGGCAGCTGGGGAAGCGACGCTTCCCCAGGCAGTGCTGCTGGCTGCAGTGCGATGGCCACAATGTCCCCCAGCTACTGGAGGAGCTGCCACAGGAGAAGAGATTTCCAGGGGGAGCTGCCTGTGAAAATTTGCCAGAGCCACTCTGGGAGCGAGGCAGTCCCCTGCTCGCCAGGGCTGCAGGGTTTGCCCCACTGACCACCTCCCTGAAACTGGGGATTTGCTGTGTCCCTCCACCCTGTCGGCTCCCGTCCCGGACATTCTGGCCACTGTGTGGGACCGGTGCTCGGCCCCGAAGCTCCTTCCTCACCCATCACCCCCCCAGGAGCCCTGCGGCTGCTGGAAGGGCGATTCACCCCCTCTGTCTTCTCCTTTCCAGTGAAGTGGGAAGCCCAGGCGAAGCTGCGGTTCAAGCTGGTTTTCCAGGCAGAGGTGGGCCGGTCGCTGGGAGAGCTGCGGTTCGCCTTGCTGCTCTTCTACCTGGGCAGCCGAGAGGCCCTGGGCACCGGGCGTCGAGAGGAGCTGCTGGCCACCGGCATGGGGCTGGCGAGGGAGCAGGTGGGTGGCCACGGCTTGGAGGTCGGTCCTGGGTGCGGGTAGGGGTGGTGGGAGGGGGGTGTCTCAGCTCTGCTGGCCCAGCACTATTACTATCCCCTCCCAGTCCCTGTGCCATCACCTCTCAATCCCTTTGCCGTCCTCTCCCAGTCCCTTTGCCGTCCTCTCCCAGTCCCTTTGCCGTCCTCTCCCAGTCCCTTTGCCGTCCTCTCCCAGTCCCTTTGCCGTCCTCTCCCAGTCCCTTTGCCGTCCTCTCCCAGTCCCTGTGCCATCCCCTCCCAGTCCCTGTGCCATCCCTCCCAGTCCCTGTGCCCTCCCCTCCCAGTCCCTTTGCCGTCCTCCACCCCTCCCT